ACAAACTTTCGACAATGTTTAATTTCTCTCCAGTTTTCCTGATTGATAATTGTCTTACTAGCTTAACTGAATAACACTGGAATCGAACACATATAACTAAAACTATCTGTAATTGATTAAAACGTATGAGAAGTTGCACTAAATCTATTAAAAGTTAACCGAAATTTCTATAATCTAAAGATGCAATCATAGCTTTGAACTCTTTTTCCACGAGTTTTCAAGGGTTTTCGCTGTCATTGAATCTGAGTCTTTTTAGGCTTGCATTGGTTAAAATTTGTTAAGAGATRTATGGAAAACTAAATCTATTAAAAGTTAATCGACAGTCATATACTTGACGTTGTTAGACGGTGAGAATCTTTTTCATCTGTTTTCATGCTGAAATTTAAAAAAATGAAAATTAGTTTAATGTCCATCTTCAGCTAATTATACGTTGCATAAGGTACTCACCTGCTCAGTCTATGAACTTTGATGCCACCTCCTGGACGATGGCTAATGCAAGATCTATTGCCTTTGATGCCATTGAACTAGTGTATACATCATGGGGTATGTTGGGATACCGTACTCGGTCTGGATAACGCATGCGTGTTGAATCTCCAACAAGACTTTCAAGCTTTGAGGCCAACCTGCTCAAGTTATCATTGTTTAGGTCATGAGCTATCTTCCTCAGATCGTGGACGTTGGTTTTATCAGCATCTATTGAATACTGTGCTGCTTTCAAGGCTTTCTCTGCGGACTGAATGAACAGATATTATCTTCAGAAATGCAAAATATGATAAAATAAAATATCTCCACAAAATATTTGTAAAAATAACAATATGGATTCTTAAGACCTACTTGCTTAAATCTGCGTTTTCTTTTCTTAATTCATCGTCATATCATTATCAATATCATCATTATCATCATCATTGTTGCATTTATATATTTTACGTCTACGGCTAAAGGCGTGCAATTTTTTATGCAAAATACTTATTGAACCCTTGACGTGGTAGCAAGAGGCAGAAACGCAGTGTTTATTAGAAAGTTGACACATTCTGTTTTGTCTTGGTTGCAAAGAACGGACTTCACGTAATACGTACAATAAAAAGACTCAAACAAATTATGAATCATAAATCTAGAGAAATAGAAACCCCTTCATACCTGATGGCACTTGAAGCACGCCCATTCGTACGAGGTTCTTTGATATTCTACATCGTTACTTGCTGCTTCCAGATCTGCTTTCGCTTGTTTGTACCACCTTCTTGCTTCACCAGGTTGAGGGTTACGTCTGTATGACCTCCAAGAAAAAGTAGAAAAGCCACCGCCACGATTGAAAGAGGATCTTTGGCTTCCATGACGTTGAGCTCGGTTATACCAAACGYCAAAATTGCTGTCAAAGTCTTCTGTTTTGTATTCCTGCTTCATTCGTTCAATTTCTGMTAGAATAAACTCGAAAATTTCCCTGCAAAAGGTTTCATTTCCTGGATTCTTATCTGGGTGCCACTTAAGGTACAAACGCTTTACGATCTTCCTTCGTTTCTCTTTGGGTTGCTTCCAAGCCTCTTGGAGAATTCTTCTGATCTCTTTTCGAATTTCATCAAAATTGGCAGGCTTTTCATCTCGAGAACCAGTAAAGGGTTCTATTTCTAAACACTCACTGTTGCCCTGGCGGCTCGGGCGGTAGAACTTGTACAAGTCTGCTGCGTCTACAACAATTGCTTCTTTGTCTTTCCCGATATCAATTCTGTATTTTCTTAAGCTTGGTTCTGTGNAAAAACATATTAAACCGAAACGAAAGAGGAAAATAAATTATTACAACCTAAGATTTAAGAATGGTTAATAAAATAATGTTTGTTTCTTAAATTTTTGTTTGAGCGTTTATTTGTTTTATTGGGGAGGAGTAATTTTTTTTTATTTTGGATCAATGCCCCCCCCAGCTTCTAGGTCCTCGCTACGCCTAATACTTATTGAACCCTTGACGTGGTAGCAAGAGGCAGAAACACAGTGTTTATTAGAAAGTTGACACATTCTGTTTCATATCTTGGTTGCAAAGAACGGACTTCACGTAATACGTACAATAAAAAGACTCAAACAAATTATGAATCATAAATCTAGAGAAATAGAAACTCCTTCATACCTGATGGCACTTGAAGCACGCCCATTCGTACGAGGTTCTTTGACATTCTACATCGTTACTTGCTGCTTCCAGATCTGCTTTCGCTTGTTTGTACCACCTTCTTGCTTCACCAGGTTGAGGGTTACGTCTGTATGACCCCGGAGAAAAAGTAGAAAAGCCACCCCCACGATTGAAAGAGGATCTTTGTCTTCCATGACGTTGAGCTCGATTACCCCATACGTCACAATTGCTGTCAGAGTCTTCTATCTTGTGTTCTTGCTTCATTCGTTCAATTTCTGATAGAATAAACTCGAAAATTTCCGTGCAAAACGTTTCATTTCCTGGATTCTTATCTGGGTGCCACTTAAGGTACAAACGCTTTATGATCTTCCTTCGTTTTTCTTCGGGTTGCTTCCAAGCCTCTTGGAGAATTCTTCTGATCTCGTTTCGAATTTCATGTTCATCAAGATTGGCAGGCTTTTCATCTCGAGAACCAGTAAAGGGTTCCATTTCTAAACACTCACTGTTGCCCTGGCGGCTCGGGCGGTAGAACTTGTACAAATCTGCTGCGTCTACAACAATTGGTTCTGTGTCTTTCCCGATATCAATTCTGTATTTTCTTAAGCTTGGTTCTGTGTTTGAKGGTTGTCCGTCCTCGATGACTTCTTCGATGACAATTGCATAGATGTAGGTTGGGGTGCCATCTTCTCCTCGAAGACTTGGATCATCAAGCTCATAACCAACGTACTCACCAGGACTGAACACTGTGAAGTCATCCACCAGCAAGTGATGGTCTGTAATATGAATAAAGTTGCCAGGTGTAGGAAGACTTGTTGCTTCAATTTTCAGCACTGACTTGTCCTCGCGAATCTTCAGTGTATCCAAGAGGCCCTTTATTTTGTAGGGTTTTGAGGACAGCAACGTTGGAAGATGAACCAGCATAGTTTTGAGAAGATGTCCCGTTATTCTATCTATGATTTCAGCCACCACTGAAACGTACGTGGAAAGTTCAGCTTCCTTTTCGATGTATATCTTCCACACTTTTTCACCCTCTTCTTCCGTTTCTTCCTCGAAGCAAGAAACGTCTGATTCACTCCCAGGTATTGCTCTACCATTGTATACAAGCTTCGTCCGAAGGTTAGGAACGCTGCACACACGAATGCATCTCAATCTTTCTTGTACCAATGTAGAGATATCTGTGCTGGTATCTGCATCATTTTTGTAGTCAGCATGTTTGATCAGGCGTATTATTCCCTGACAAAACTCACGTGATGTCAAAACCTGCCGGAGTTCCTGTGCTGTGCTGGAACAAGAAAGGGCCTGGTTTTCTTCCACTAAGGTTTCACGAACCACGGACGTAAGCATGCGAGGACGAATGGATTCAGGAAGCTTCTTCACCAGCAGGTCTTCATTATTTACTTCCAGTTCACAGTCAGCGAGTTTAACAAGAATCGATTTCTTGAATTTTCTTATTCTTTCCTTGAGGTGTGGAGCATCATTGTACAAAATGTCGGCAGACGGTCTCAAAAATACCATATTGATGGAATGGTCAGACGGATTATGTTTGACTCCTGGTAGGTAGAGAGGTTTAATCTCATTGTCTTCAACTTTATTAAATGTTTCAAAAAAACCTTTTGTAGCTTTAAAAGCTTTGCGTATCTCGTTAGGGTGAAGCTTCTCGTCACCACATTCATCATGTATATTCTTCAGTACCATCAAATACTGTGCTGCAGTGATAGTGTTGGTTGTACCAAGATTTTCAAATAGTTCTGCATAAGCTGCCACTTCACCAAAAATCTTGTACAGATATGGCGGGATTTCTTGGTCTGATGTGATATCCACGGCCACTTGGTTAGGAAACACAAATCGCTCGCCATCTTCAACTACGATGCAGCGGATGTTCTTCAGCTCATTTATGACCTCTTCATTTCCATTGTAGTTATTTTCCAGATATTCGTAAATGCTTGTCATTATTCTAACAACTTTTTGAAGACCTCTTTTGCTTCTTTTTCCGGGGGAGTTTTCTGTGCAATTCATTTGGCACAGTGCGCTGCAAATGTTTTTGCAATGATTGACGACCATATCAACGGATGGGTTTTGAAAAATGCCCAGTCGTCGAAAAATCTCGTTTTGCTCTTGCTTTGTGAAATTAACATTAGTACAATGCAACAGGTTCGCATAATCAGGCAAAAGGTTCGCAGTTGTCCAGGTGATAGAGTGGTTCTTAGAGGCTACGGAGCCTTGAAAGCAAATGCACCGTGAACCAGTTTTCCCTGAGCCATATTGATCATGGATGGCTTGCAGACAAGGATCCACGTCATCAGGAAAGAGGAAACAGATGTCCTTAACATGATCCAGTAGCTTGCTGGCTGCAATGTTCTCAGATTCGAAGAGGTAAGTTATCAAAGCTTTCGATTTCTTTCTCGTTCCATCATCTAGCCTTGTTTTGTCTTCTGTTTCGATTTGCTTTGCAAACTGCAAGAACTGCTCGTCAGTGACTTCATGGATGAGTCCTATCCGACGTAGAAAGGGTAACCATTCAGCCTTACAAAACGGTTCTGGTGGAAACAACTCTTGATTGTTTTTAAACATTGCAGCAAAGACTTTGTTAAATGGATCATAAAAGGAAGATGCTGTTTTTAAAACCCCATCTTGTCCTGCCATAAACTTCATTTCCAACAGCGCGTGACTGAGTTTTGCCAGTTTTGTTTTTTTCTTTATTTTCTGGTCACTTGAAATTGAAATACTTCTCTCTAGCTCATACAGTAACTCGCGGACAAATATCACGTGTTTTATTCGTGCTTCTTCGCTCATATCCTCGAACTTCTCGAAGATGATGTCACAGTATGCATCTACCTCATCTTCAGTGTGACATTGAAGGAATTCGTACAGCTTTCCCAAACTCTTACTCTCTTTAAGAAAAACGATTCTTGACGTTTCTTGCCATATGTGCATGTCGTCCTTTGGAATTCTTGACGACAGAACATATGCTTGCTTTCCGCTGATACTAATGATGTCATCGTGAATGGTTTCGTAAAGAGGCAACCTTTTCAGTTTTTCAGCAGTTGAGGGTTCCAGCTTGGTAAGGTGATTATTAAAATATCCTAGCACATGGAGACAATCATCTGCKTYAAAGGCTTTAAATGAGTTAGGATCAAAACTCATTTTCTTCAAAAGTACAGTAAGAACTGAATTTGGGTCTGCAAGAGATGCCACAAGTCGTTTTGCCGTTTTAGAAGGTCCACTCCTGTACCCAGACATAGATTCACCATCGATCAAGCTGCAGTTTAGTTGAGGAAGGAGAATTTTCTTCAAAGTTTCCTTTAAGTCGAACCCGGTTGAACTTTCTAAATCAATCACAGTGTTAGACATGCCCATGGGGAGGAGGATATGCTTGACACTAACTGGGTGGACGTGTGGGTTAGCTTCAAATGCTGGTAAAAGACACCAGTGCATCACAGGAGTTAACGCCTCTTGGGCTATGCACTTCCTTGCCTCTTTGTCTTGCAGTTCATGGCGTTGTTGCAACTCCTTTCTCTCATGATAATTCTGAGGATATTTCCTTGTACGACTCTGTGCTTCATCGTAACGCTCGACCTTTTTCTCGATATAATTCGAAAAGAACCTCCACACATGCCATATCCATTGTTTGCTTGGAATCTGGTGGTTTTTATTCTCTGGATTCCAAATCACAACTCTGTCCGTCGTTCTGTAATGGTTCACCTCCATTTCTTTTGGTAGAAGACTTGCAAAAGCTTTGATGTCAAATGCTATGAAAACTGGAGACATAATCGGTTTGACTTCCCCATTACAATAAAACACATCATTGAAAAGCTTTTGGTGCACAAACATTGAAGAACAACTAGGAAGTATTTCACAGTAGCCACTAAGGAAGACTTTGTGTGATTGGCTGAAGACTCGGAGATGTTCATCTTCAGTAAGTAGTAGAGGAAGACCATCAAGTGTTTGGAAAAAATCTTCATCTTGTTTGCAGTACTTTAGAATCCTAAGCAAGTTACCCATGTTCCTGAATGGGGTCTTTGAAATTGGCAAGGGCAGTTTTCCTACGTCACACAATTGATCAGAAGAGTTGTAAGTTGAAAAAAAATCAATAACATCTTTTGGAGTTATGAGACTCACATCCACGCTTGCCGTGATAAAACRGTCGTAAAYGTYGATARCATCCGGTGTAAAAAGCAAATTGATACCCAAGGCRAGGAGAGTGTCTCTCAKTCTCTTAGAGTCTTTCACAGCTTTGAWTTKCAKTTCTTTGTCAAGTGAATCGTAGTWTGAYGGTAGTTTATCTAATAAACTACCAAAGAAAGCTYKGTYGCGTCCRTRYCCTGTTGGTGGCAACCACTCAATACAAACACTATCTTGGTGTTGATTTCCTTTAAAGCTTTCTTCGCGTAGCACTGGAAGAAGACGCAAACTTCCTGCATTCATGTAGCGGTACACTTCTCTTGTCAGAGTTTTCCAATACTCTTCTTTGACAGCAAACGATGGAAAGTACTTGAAGTAGTTTGAAAGAACACATTCTCCATTATTTCGGTCACCATTAATGAATGTCTTTCCATCAGCGTTTCTCGGCAAGGATATATGCTGCCTCACCTCATCTAGTAAGGTTACGTAGCATTGTGCAACCACTTGTCGTAGTAATGCATCATTCCAGTTACTCCTGTAATCATCACGTCTGTTATCTCGCCAGAGATTTCTACGATCCTCGTGGTTTAGAGCAAAATGTCCATTGATGTGAACTGGAAGACCGGTTTTGAAAGTAAGGGGAAGAAAACAAAAGGCTTTTCCCTGAGTATCTTTGTGATCCTTTGAAGAACTGATCAACGATGCCACTCCACCACGTGGTAACAGACCAAGATCTCCTCTTTCAAATGCTTCTTGAATATTGCCTGGAATTTTCACTTTTTGATCAAAGCCAATTTTCTGAACAACAAACCACTTTTGATTCAAACCTTTGCTGTCTTCTAGCTTAACGACATAGGACACTTGATGCACAGGAATCTCGGCAATAGACATTTCTCCACTCTGTAAACGTTTTCCAATTTCACTGACACGATCAGCAAATTCTTTTCGCTTCTTTTCGTCGTCTGAAGACAGCGACGACTGAACACGGTAAGACTCATTCAGCTTTCCATTTTTCTGGTCAATTTTATAAATGGAAATCTCCTCGACGTTGTTAACGAATAGGAGAACCTGAAGAAGCTCTTCCTTGAAATCATTCAGCAGATCTTCCAACTTTTGGACTGTCATCGCCTTGCTACTTATCTTGGACGTGGTAGCCATGTCTTCATTTCGAAGCGGGAACCGGAACATTGTGGCATTTGTTAAAGGGAAGCATTTGCCAAGATTGTAGCAAGGAAATACATCAGTAAACCTTTCTCTCAGTGCAGGAAGATCTTTATACATAATTCCTGGGTTTGACTCATCTGCACCAGGGGCGAACTTCAGATTCGGGTCAAACACGCACATTACTTCCCCAATCTCTTCTCCTTGAGAAACAAAAGTTGGCGCATCGGTCAGATGATACACTGCATTGAATCCCACACCATACTGACCAGTTTTGTTTGGATCGTCGCCTTTACTTCCTTCGCCAAGTTTTTGTATTCCCTCGACGTCACTCTTTGTAAATGGTGCGTCGTTGTAAACGCACAAGGCAGGCCCTTGGAGGGGCTTCCAGCACTCTTCAAAGACTCTCTCATCTGGATGTTGCCGAGGATCATTGATAAAACAGACTTTTTTGGCCTTAGCATCGTCTGCATTCTGGAGAAGTTCTTTCATGATTGATTCATCGCCTGGATATCCGTCTAGTATCCGCTTAAGCCTATTGGTAAGCTTCTCTTTCTGTCCAAATGGAATGCCAAATGTGTGCTTGCTAAGTGTTTCCTGTCTTCTNTCGCGTAGCACTGGAAGAAGACGCAAACTTCCTGCATTCATGTAGCGGTACACTTCTCTTGTCAGAGTTTTCCAATACTCTTCTTTGACAGCAAATGATGGAAAGTACTTAAAGTAGTTTGAAAGAACACATTCTCCATTATTTCGGTCACCATTAATGAATGTCTTTCCATTAGCGTTTCTCGGCAAGGATATATGCTGCCTCACTTCATCTAGTAAGGTTACATAGCATGGCGCAACCACTTGTCGCAGTAATGCATCATTCCAGTTACTCCTGTAATCATCACTTCTGTTATCTCGCCAGAGATTTCTACGATCCTCGTGGTTTAGAGCAAAATGTCCATTAATGTGAACTGGAAGACCGGTTTTGAAAGGAAGGGGAAGAAAACAAAAGGCTTTTCCCTGAGTAYCTTGGTGATCCTCCGAAGAACTGATCAACGATGCCACTCCACCACGTGGTAATAGACCAAGATCTCCTCTTTCAAATGCTTCTTCAATGTTGTCTGGGATATCCTCTTGGTTTTCTAAGCCAATTTGCTGTACGACAAACCATTTCTGTTTCAGACCTCTACTATCTTTCAGTTCCAAGACATAGGAAACTTTCTTTAAAGKAATGTCAGTCACTGATATTTCCCCTTTTCTTAGACTTTCTCCAATTCCTTTGACATACGAAGAAAAGTCTGTTCTTTTCTTTTTATCTTTTGTCGACAGCGAGGATTGGGCTCCATACAATTCACTCAACTTTCCAGTTTCCTTGTCAATCTCACAAATTGAAACTTCATTCACGTTGTTAACAAATAGGAGAACCTGAAAAAGCTCATTTTCGAAGTCATCAAGAAGTTTCTCCAGATTTCTAGTTGTCATCGCCTTGTTACTTATCTTGGACGTAC